AGTGCTTAGACATCTCTATACCGAAAACTACTGTATTGTATGTATCACTCAATCAATGTATTCACTAATTGTTTGCTATGTCTGTAATAAATGCTTTCATTGGACACCAACTCATCCAACATTACCCGTAGATTGTCAGCCAATCACTGGTCACCACAGCCTTCACTCAATTGCATGATTGCAATAGTAGTCAGTGATGTCTAGTGAGTGGGATTCGGGGGATTCGGGGGATTCGGGGGATTCGGGGGTTACTGTATCTCAAGTTATTTCAAATACCCCTAAACCCTAAGCTCTCAAATGCATGACACTTGCGGTCTAATGATTACTCCCGTGTTGTGTGCACTGGAGTGCTGGGCATCACTGAACACTTCAGTGCTGGGCATCACTGAACACTTCAGTGCTGGGCATCACTGAACACTTCAGTGCTGGGCATCACTGAACACTTCAGTCAAATCACTGTCAAGTGACGCGATTTAGACCTAAAGTTCAATTATTTCATCATTTTTGAAATAAAGTTTTCATGAATATGTCCACAAATAACGAGTCGCACGACATGTCGAACCCTTTTACGCAAATAATTCATACAATGAATGGAAGCGAACTGAGAGCCACTCATATATTCGATACGTTTTCGCTGAACACTAGACCTCTGTTTTGACCGAAAACTTGAAAATAGGAGTTATTTTATGGTTTGGTTTGCATTGCATTGCGTTGACAGTGAAGTGACACTCAATTGAATCGATTGTCATTTGATTGCATTGTCTGTGAATTGTGTGGAAGTGTCGGACAATCTGTGGTGTGAGTGGAGAGACAATGACAGCGAAGGCGAGTGCGTCGAAGAAGTGCGACGACACGGATGTGTCTGCGGACCACGTGTTTGGTCAGCCCAACGATCTCTGCAAAGTGGTGTATGTGGTGAACGTCTGCACTCAAGACCACAACCACTGGTGGGCCGACGCCGTGGCCGCCAAACAGGGTGTGATCGACGAGTTGGTCCAGTTCTTCGACGCCACCGGCGAGCAGGCCATCGATCTCTGCTTCGATGTGGCCCTCGATTATGGGTTCATAACCACACAAACGGATCCCAAGACAGCGCGAGTGAGGTATGTATGCGGCGATTGAGTTGCAGATAATGGCAGCCATTGAATGATTAATTGAATGTCAAATGTGTTAAGATATGTGACACGAAAGCGAAATGAGTTGGACTTAACTCACGACTGGTTTTGTTACGAATGCGATGTATTGGTTCCGCCGAAGAGTCCACAGTTCTTGCGATGCGATCAATGCTTTCGTATCTTTC